CATGAATTCATAATTTATGAATGTCCGAAATTATGAATGTAATGAAAATTCATAATCTCATAACAGAAAATTCATAATCGCATAACAGAAAATTCATAATCTCATAACTGAAAATTCATAATCTCATAACAGAAAATTCATAATCTTATAAAAGAAAATTCATAATCTCATGGTTCCAAAGTGAATGTGTAGGCATGGTTCCAAAGTGAATGTGCAGGCATGGATTCATAATTTATGAATGTCCGTGATTTCGGACGGGAATGTGTAGGCATGGTTCCAAAGTGAATGTGCAGGCATGAATTCATAATTTATGAATGTCCGAAATCTTTGTTCACCTCAAATTAAAGTAAAACCGCAAAATGTGAAAATAAAGAAGAAAAGTCACGCAATTAATTAAGAAAAAACAAAAATAACGGTGTACTAACACCGTTGGAACCGTGTTCACCATGAATGGTGAACACGGTTCCATGGCATAACGTCCCCGGAGCGTTATGCCATGGACCCGGTCCACCTTGCAAGGTGGACCTAAGTCCAAAACAATGCAGTTTGCGCGTGTGAAAATTTCGGTGCCATTAGTGGTACCGTTTTCGCAACCAATAATTTTATTTTTATTTTTAAAATTATTGAAAACAACTCAGCGAGTGAATATTTAGTTCTGTAATTGTGAATATAGAGTTCTTTAATTGTGAATATAGTGTTATGACATTGTAAATATAGAGTTCTGTAATTGTGAATATAGAGTTCAAAAATTGTGAATATTGAGTTTTGTAATTTTGTATATTAAGATCTAAAATTGTGAATATTTAGTTCTAAAATTGTGAATATTCAGTTCTAAAATTGTGAATATAGAGTTCTTTTTTTTTTTTTTTTTTTTTTTTTTTGAAACTAAAAATATAGAGTTCAAAAATTGTGAATATAGAGTTTAAAAATTGTGAATATAGACTTCTGCAATTGTGAATATTGAGTTCTGTAATTTTGTATATTGGGACCTAAAATTGTGAATATTCAGTTTTAAAATTGTGAAAATAGAGTTAAAAGAATTGTAAATATACAGGAGCGAATTCTGAAGACAAACGGTAAGGAAGGAACCTTTTTTCTTTTTTTTTTTTTTTTTTTTTTTTTTTTTTTTTTTTCAGACGACATCGTTTTGAAGCAAAACGACGCCGTTTTGGACATAGGTCCACCTTGACCAGAGTCCACAACATAATTTCCCCCTACACCCGTGCGGATAACCCACTGATCAAGCTCGATTTGATATCCATATTTTCGCAAACCAAAAATTTTAGATCCTAACCTGCCCCACCACAGGACGGTTAGTATTAACTCGCAAGTTTTGATCCACTTTGACACCCCAACCTAGATAAAGGCTAGGGAATTAAAACTTTACTCCCAATTAACGGGAAACATGTGATCACTAATTAATTAGCTTACCTATTCAATTTTAGTTTGATTCAATTGATCGATTTATATTGAAATTACCCCAACAATCTAAGGTGATACATGCATGGTTCGAACATAAGAAAAAAAAAAACTAAATAGCATTTCATAATTATTCTCAATTAAGTTCGTCACATATTGTATTTCTTATGTGCTTTATTTTTCTTGCATGGTTTGTAGGCTATTTATATAGGAACAAAGTTTTCTCATATATAGTTCATAAACTATTACTCTGTACATAGGGTGGAATTTATCCAATACACACTATTGAATACAATAGTGATTGCGAGTTTCTCTCATCTAAAACAAAAATTTAACTTTTGTTAATGTTATCTGCCGTACATAACCAAATACGTAGTGCCCTTTGACTTCTTTATTACTTAATTATAAAATGCTGAATGGAACAAGTCGATTTTGTTATGTGTGACGCAACAAACTATGTCAATAGGTAATCAATATAATGGACAAAATTCATTCCATTTGGCAAGATGGAAATAATGATAGATTGCGTTAAGCATAAAATATATAAAATATTAAATGTGTATGTATATTCACATAGAGTTCATATTCGATTCAAAGATTATTTTTGTATTAAGACTAAGACCTGTTTGGTAAATGGCTGTTAGTTGTTAGCTGATTGAGTTAATTAAAAGGTATAACTAGTTGATAACATTAGCTGATTGTAGAAAAGTGTTTGGTAAATTAGCTGTTTGGTATAATTTATTTTCTCAAAAAGCTAATTGAAAAAGTTGCTTTGAGCAGCTTTTTAAATTTTAGCATTTTGGAGTTACAAAAAGCTAATTAACCAAACACTTATATTGATTTTTTTAATTAAATCAAACAACTAATAGTGGTCAAATAAGCCAAAATTGACCTATAAGCTGACTATTTTACCAAACAGGGCTTAAGATTACACTTCTAAGTTCTATGCACATACATTGTGAGACAAATAGATGTATGAACAAATTGGATATCATCTCGATTTGAAAAACAACATTATTTCAAATTTGTGAGTTGAAATTAAAGCTGATTTTGTGAATATGTACGAAAAAAAAAAAAGAACAAATAATATCATGATCTTCTCTCAACATGTACGGTTAAATAATATCATTTTGTAACGTGTACAACACAAAAGGAAAATCAAACTTAACAAATAAATCAACATAGCCTGGACGACATGCATTATATTATAGTTTGCTCCATTTAAAATAAGGCTAACGCAACATGCATGATTGCCCCTTGGGGAGAAAGCCACCATGGATGAATAAAAATAAAAATCAAAAGAAGCTATATATCTTCACATAGGATGGATGAACTGGTGAGTTTAATCAAAGATGCACATTTTTTTCTAAAATTTGAACAATTCTTTTCTAGCTAATTCAAAATTTGTAGTAATACAAGAATGGGTCATCAATCTCTTTCATATATATGTTGATTGGTTAAACAAAGTGATGTAACTTGAGCCCATTCAATTGTGGCTATTGGCAAGATTCAAATGGGGTAGTAATGTGATGGATCCCCATCTTTATCTATTATAAGTCATTAGGGAACTTTAAACTCGTAAACAGAGATTTCATGTATGTTAGACATGTTTTTTTCTAGATAGTTGCCTATGAGAGTTACTTATCATTTTATATATATATATATATATATATATATATATATATATATATATATATATATATATATATATATATATATATATATTATATGTATATATGTATATATATATTATATGTATATATATATATATATATATATATATATATATATATATATATATATATATATATATATATATATACATATAGGGTTGAGTTCAAATGAGGACAACAATATATAGAGGACTGTGAGGACAAATAATGGGCACACAACAATTCAATATCAGGCACACAATTTAATACATAATGGCACACAAGAATATATGTAAACATCAGGTTTCGAACTCAGGCTCTATTAATTAACAAATCTATGCGCGCGACATACAAACTGTGGCACACAACTTCATTCGGCCATGCACACGACATACAGGCTAATGGCACACACTACATCTGTCCTCACAATCCTCTATAATATACTTGTCCTCATTTGAACTCAAGTCTATACATATATATATATATATATATATATATATATATATATATATATACACATATATATATATATATATATATATATATATATATATATATATATATATATACACATATATACATATAATATATATATATATATATATATATATATATATATATATATATATATATATATATATATATATATATATATATATATGTATGTATGTATCTTTTACAACCTTTTGAAAAGCTTATGTTCATAGATAATATTAAAAAAATTGTCAATTACTAATAAGGTCAACCTTAATCATGTGCGACCTGCATGATCACTGCACAAAATCTCAATTAGCAAGCTAGGCACAATTTGTTATATATATGTGTGTGTGTGCGTGTGCGTGTGCGTATATATATATATATATATATATATATATATATATATATATATATATATATATATATATGTATGTATCTTTTACAACCTTTTGAAAAGCTTATGTTCATAGATAATATCAAAAAAATTGTCAATTACTAATAAGGTCAACCTTAATCATGTGCGACCTGCATGATCACTGCACAAAATCTCAATTAGCAAGCTAGGCACAATTTGTTATATATATGTGTGTGTGCGTGTGCGTGTGCGTGTGCGTGTGCGTGCGTATGAGAGAGAGAGAGAGAGGGGAGAGAGAGAGAGTAGTAGAATAAATATCATTGTCTCTTGACAACTAGGTTGTTGAACAACTTTGGCCAACCCAACATAGGAGAAAAGTAAATGAACATAGAGATTCCTTTTAACCGTTGTTAGCAATTGAATCAAATGGATAATTGGATATGGATGGATTATAATCTCACTTTGATTAATGTTACATTGTTACGTTCATACGAAAAGATATTATTAATTGATTCAAGAAAAAGTCTTCTTAAATTAATTAGCTAAAATAGTATTGTCTTATAAACATTTATCAATTTTTGTTATCACACTTTGATTTACAAGAAAGCCCTAAGCAAATGTGTGGTCTGGATGAAACTCGCCTTGTGATCCTAGATGGCAAATGACCACAAGAAGGTAAATCAGTCTAAGTTGTCCACTTGTCCGATCCATAGCTGACCAACTCAATTTAAGAAGGTCAATAGACAATTCTAATGGAAGGTCGAAGTTGAAACCTTAAAAATACTAAACCAACTAACTGTACAATTTAATAGAGTCAGTAGCATTAAAAAAAAAATCCAAAAAAGAAGAGCAAGCCCAAAACAAGCACCACTAAGGCACTAACTAATTAACAACTCTTCTATGCCAAGAAACACTCAATAAATCATAAGCTGTTACTTTCATAATGAAAATATGTTTGATTATATTTTTCTTTCAATTTTAATATATATATAATGTTATGGACTATTAAAAACTATTTGATCTATTCAACACACCTTAAAACAATGTATTTTATCTTCCTATAAATACCCTCTTCACAACCTAAATTTTCACAACACACTTCCTCATACAACAAAAAGAAGAAAAAAGAAATGGCTCTTACAAAACTCAACAAAGTGACCTTTGTCGCTCTACTTGTCTGCTTCATCCTAATTGCATCATATGGTGAGTACTCTCTATTTCTATGCTTTTAAGTAGTACGAGGTTATTTGTTATTAGCGTGGATTATTGATGTTGTTGTGAATTCATATGAACGCAGAAACGCAAATGGTTGAAGCAAAGCATTGTATGAAATACAACAGTTGGAGTGGCAGATGCCCCCCGATGCGTTGCAGCAGTTGGTGCAAAGGCATGGGTGGCTCCAAGTGGTATTGTCAGCACCAAAAGTGTTACTGCCAGTATCATTGCGGCAGCTAAATGAAAATATTTATATCTTGCACTATTTTCATACCACCAAAATAGTGCATCATATAATAAATCTAAATCTTTTATATAGTAAAGAGAAATAAATGTTGCTACATATAAATGACTCGAGTCATTTTATTACACGGCAACAATTGTATGTTGTAACCTATACGCGCGACACTAGTTGTGTGTATTTTAATGTGTTGTATGCTAAATACTATTATTACTATACTATTTGAGTTTTTAGTATTTACAAAGTTTGATGTTCGAGTGGGTGCATATGATATTATACTTCTGAAAACTCTATCATACTTAATTTGGAAAAGAATATGTTGGGCGTCGATCGGGTTGGCTGAATTCAGTCTCTCAATTTGAGACTTGACGTTGTGGTATATCATGGAGGGATATGGTTAAATGATTAATGTCCACCTACTTATCACCAATTGATTTTAAAGATATGCAATGGCAACCCAATAATAACCAAAAAAAAAAAAAAAACTCCGTAATTAAGGGTACTTGACTTACAGGATGAGCGACCTACTGTGGAGTAAACACAATGCAATATTGAGATCCTGCATGTGGAGTAAACATAATGCAACATTGAGATCCAACTGGAGAGTCAACAATTAGTAAACCCCTTAAAGTTCAAACCCTATTTGTGCATCACAGAATTTTTTGTGAGATAATTAATTTGCCACCTTATTTTATCTTCTTAAAATAAAAAAATAAAGCGTATCATATAAGCATGGATAAAAAGTAAGGTTAAGTATAGTTATATTGACTATTGGTAATAATAAAGTATAAAAGTATTGAAGCTCAAAACATCTAGATTGCTATATATTGATAACATATTGAAATCAATATAATTTATGTATATCAAATACAATTTTAATGAAAACCATCTTGGTTGACTCTTGTCCCTTAAGAAAGGTCGGGAGTTTGAACTCTCTCTTGTATGGAAAAACTAATATGTCCAGCACTTTATCTCTTAATTGAGATGACCCAGTGTGAACGGGGATTAGTTTAATACCTCCTGCTCAGAACACATAGTGGTCTGGTGAAAAAAACAAAATTTTAAATTACTAATAAAAATGCACATCTATTATTCTATAGTTTCACAACCTATTAGAATATGCGCTCAACACCTCTAGAAGTAGTGGGATCCTTTCCGACAAATTATACTAAAGTAGTGGGATCCTTTCCCGCAAATTATACTATGTACTAGGTCTACTTTGTATTGTAGATTATAATACAAAATTATATTCAAATTATATATATGCAATTAAACATTATTGATAGTATAAATTCCACGTAAGGCGGTTAAGATATTAGAGAAGACCAAGTCAAAGCAAATAAACACTTTTATTAACCGAAGGAAGGACCTAATACAATCTAAAGTGGCTATTCCGAGGGCCGACTGACTGCGGTCAGGCAGCTCTGTAAATAGCCTATTGATCGTATCAAAAGTCCCTCACACTGTAGCCGCCGTGGGTACTTATAGCCACTAGGCCGGAGACACAATTCCGGCCAGCCGGCATGTAACCCATGTAACACCCCGAAATTTTGGAAACTTTTTAAAACTTATATAACAAAGGTAATTTCTCATTAAGTCCCAAAAGTAAACATAAGAGCACGGGGTGCTATGCCACACCTGAGTTAGAGAGCTCAGGTGCACAGGCAAACTAACTAAAATCCTCAAAGTAAAAGTCAGTACATAAACATGGCACACAGGCCGAAAAGGGGAAACTAACTACTCTACGCTTCAGGTCTCTAGCACGCTCCGGTGTCTACTCATCTGTGCCTGAAAGCCAAATATATCTGTTCAGCGAGAGATGCTGGTAACCCACTCCAACGCGTTGAAATATATTATAGATAGATATATATAGATATATGAAAATCATTTCGAAGCAGGAAGATATATACTTAAGAGACTCTAGTTTTAAAACCAGGAATGAACTCAGCAAATAGGGGTAAGCACAATAATTAATGATGACAGTTAAGTAGAATCATCATAAAGAATAAGCAACTAAGGTCACTGTCTATGTCCACATCAATCATATCATCATTTAATCATCATTCTAATCATCATTTGTGACACTCAATCACACAGCTCTGGCGCCACGGGACCAATCGCATGCCCCGAACATGAGGGTTAATGCGTATAGCATTAACACGGCCCCGCAGCACCCTACCTCATACCGCGGCATGAAGGGAGTTGATCGCAACCAACCCATAGAGGACCGCTGACGAACTCAACGTCGGACCACAATCTGACACACCGCTGACGCGCACAGTCGGTGGACCGTGATCCCCTTTACAAGGGGGGACTTACGACCCTACACACCGTTGATGCGTACAGTCGGCACACCGCTGAGCTAAACTCAGTCGGTGGGCAAAGATCCTCGGAGACTACGGCCCTACACACCGTTGTCCCATCACTCGGTGGATCGCAGCCAGCCGTAGCCCTACACACCGCCTGATTACTCAGGTCGGTGGACTACAGCCTTCCTTGGCTTATTGGCCCTACACACCGCCTGGCGCGTCTTGGTCGATGGGTCATAGCACCGCAGCCCAAGAAGTGAATCAATTCGGCCTTCAGCCGACTTCTGAGCTTTAGCTCAGGAACAATCCATTTGGCCTTCAGCCACTTCCGAACCTTTAGTCCGGGAACAATCCATTCGGCCTTCAGCCGACTTCCGAACCTCAGTCCAGGAATCACCCAATTGGTCTGTAACCAAAATGGGGGATCATGCAACACATAACACATAGGAGCACGTAATAGCATATTGGGAGGGGAAGACATATAAATAAACTTACTTGTGGTTGTTCACATACTAAGAATAGTCCTAAGGGTTCATACAACTTCCACCTAGGTCAACGGGTTACCAATTCTACTAGCATGCAATCCCAAAGACTCGTTTAACCTACAAATGGTTCTCGCAACATCAAACTAGACTTAAGCACGACAAACGGGGTCCGTTGGGACACCATGGGGGAGCGGGGAACGTCAAACGGGAAAGCCAAAGACCCGGGGTGGTGTACGGACCAGCGGGTAGCCGGTGGGTGGGGGTCACCTACCGGCTGCCCGCCGGAGGGCACTGTTCCGGGCAGCGGGTTGCCGGCGGGCAGGCGGCTGCCCGGTGGCTGCCCGCTGCCGGGCGGTGTCCTTCGGGCAACGGGTAGGTGGCGGGTTCCCCCACCTACCCCCCATTAACTCTTTTCTCATATATTCGTCCCGGGAACCTTTGTGGAACCCGAAACCATGCTTAGACACTTTTAAACGCAATTAACGACACCACGTAGTCAATTAACGGATCAAAAGCAAGAATCACGTATAACCCATCCTATTATGACTTCTAAACAGAAACAACTCCCGAACATGCGAATTCCCACCCAAATATATGTATCAAGAACATTATAACAGAAATTCCCAATCCGCCCTAGGGCTCTAATCCCACCCAAATTATCAAGATCATATTTCATCTTTAACATAAAAAAATATCAAGATTTGTCAAGGATTATCACATCAATAACAAGAACTTCTTTTCAACATCAAGATCATCAAGATTATCAAGAATGCACATAGATCATCTTATCAATCATCAAGAACATATCACAATTAACATAGAAGAATTTATCAAGACACAAGAATATAGAGGGAGGCCAAAGAAGGAGATTATAGCGAAGAAAATAGGTTTTGTTGAGACATGGGTTACCTCTTAGCCTTAATTAATTTCCTTGGCTATGAAGGGTCTTTCTTTAAGATTTCTTTCTTTCTTGATTTCTCCTAAGGGGATTCTTGGAACTTCTTGTGTGGTGGGAGAATATTGTGGTGTAAGGTCTAGGTGCCTCCTATGTCCCTATTTATATATTTAAGAGTCCTAATTAGGGTCTAAGTGGTATGGGTTTGCTAATTCTATTTCCTATAGGACATGGGGATTGGTTTTAGGGATAAGCGCCCATGGACCATGGTGGACCCCTCTTTAGCTAATTAATGGATTTTAATTCCATTTTGAGGGTGAGTACTTAATTAATTAATTTGGTTTAGGGGTCGTAACACGGGGTGTTACAACCCACGTGTCTTCACCCAGCGAGCTCTGCCTGTCATCGTGTAACGTTGCCACGTGCTTCTTCTCGAATCTCTCATTCAAGGACCATCAACCGGGTGTTAAAGACATCGGTCGGGAGATACACCGGTCGGGTCCGTCCGGCTTCCTTCAGGAGTGTCCAACTTGTAAACCTACACAAATAGCAAGAAAAGACGTGGCATGGCGGTCGGGATATATCCTACCAAAATCCCCCCAGCCCGGGCCTTTTTGACCGCTCAGGGAAAAACGGGACGGGATGAAAAAGTCCCAACACCTGGCCTGCCATCCCGACCGGACAGTTGTCGCTTGTCGTGCCACGTGCCGGCTTCTGCACGCCTCGGAGTTTGTAACGGTCATGTCGCGCAAGTGGGCCGTTTTCCAGCCCAAATTTTCTATAAATAGGCGCTTCTGAAGTTCATTTGAACTTTTACCACTGTGCGAGTATTAATCGGAGCAGCCCGAGTGAGTCAATCGGTGCGTCGATCGAGCAAGCAGCTTTCAACTTTCTCAACCAAGAGCAACCAATCGGTAAGTTTCTCTTGTCCCTCCTTGCATCTCTTTTTAATTCTTCTTTTACTTCCTCGATAACTACGACCCCTGTAACTCGCTAACCCCGACCGAAATAAAACGACTCCCAACGCTGAAACGACCGTCTCCTTTATGAAGGGGACATGTCAGACTCCGACAGCCAAAGCATCTCGGGCGCGGACTACGACGATGCGGTCGAGCAACTCAGCGAAGAGGTAGAAATTGAAGCATCGTCGCCTGAAGACGTCAAGGTCGTTCAACGACCGATCAAGACCCCTGAACGCCAAAGCTCCTCTGGCTCAGAGAGCTCCTCGGGGTCAAGTGATTCAGATAGCTCAAGCGGCGACAACGTGAGCAACAACGATACCGCAACAGACGACCGGGAAACCCCGGTCGAGGTCGTTAGGGAAACGCCCACCCGAACGATAGTGGATGAACCTGGGGCATCTTCTTCTGCCCATGATCGGGAAGCTACACCCGAGCCAACGGAGGAAGAACCAGCCAACCAGCCGTCGGACCAGAGCTCATTTTCCTCAACAGCGAAAGCGTTGAGTAACAAGAATGCTTGCTGACGACCGGTGAAGCAGTGAGGATCGCCGCAAGGCTGAGCGGTCGAGTTCGATTCGATACGCGGCGTTCCTTAGGTAATAT